TCTCTGTACACAGAGAGCTGTTACCCTTCCCTTCATAGTTATGACACAGCCATTAGAAAAATGTATCACAGTTTGCTGATGTGGAGACAGTAATTTGAGATATTTCTGAATATTTTTCTACTGGAATGTGTTGAATCTTGCAATTTACAAAGCTTACGGTTACTGCTCCTCCTCTATATGAAATGACGCCAATACTATGATTTGTAATCATTCCAGCTGAGTTACTGGTATTTACGCAACACAGGAACTTGAAAGATTACTGCCACACTTAAGTAACTCGATGAACTTTAAAAAGTTCACCTAAACTTTATTAAAGGGGCAGTATCAGTCTAGGTGTAACATTTAGGTTTTTGTAAATGTGCATATGCCTAATATTTTCTTTTGTAAAAGAAACAATATGTACAAGTCCAATTCCAATATTAATGTAATTATTGTAAATAATTTTGTTTTGAATTTCAATGAAAACATTTATTTTTTCCTATGTTTATTAGAGGTACATTAGTGCAATACAGCCTCCCTCCTTCCCCAACAAATCAAAAACAAAACAAAACACCCACCCAAACAAACCAAACAACCCCACCACTGAAGAAGAAAAAAATCACCAGGTAACTAAATTGTGAAAAGTGAATTAGATTTTTAAAAATTTGAAGTTAAAGTTGGGGAGTAGAGAGGAGAATAGGGAGGTGAAATTGAACTGTCTAGAGCAGGGGTTCCCAAACTTGGTGAACCGCGGCCACTGGGAGCTGTGAGTGGCCGTATCTGCGGACTCTCAGGTAAACAAAGCATCTTGCAGCCTGCCAGGGGTTTACCCTGAACAAGCCGCGAACCAAGTTGGGGAACCCCTGCTCTAGAGGTCTTCAGAGACCTGGAGTTGGAAAGCTGATGATGATATGTGTATTCACTCCTTAAAATCTGTATCAGGAAGTCAAACAGGAATGACAAAGGAGAATGTTCTAGGCAGAAAGTCTCCCATGAAGCAGAATTGTAGCTTTGTATTTCTTCTTCTATTGAAGTGCCTTGTTCAGTGTTAAAGAAGAATAATTCCTTTGGTGATTGGCATGATAACCATGGGTTATCAAGTGACATTACATCCAATCGTGGGCAACAATTTGACTTCTGCTTTTAGGGAGCATGGTTCAAACCCTACATATTTCCTCTGCTTATCACCTCCAGATGGATAGACAAACAGAATGGGTAAATCAGGTTTTAGTACAGTGATTTTCAACCTTTTTTTCATTTGCAGACCCCTAAAAAAATTCAAATGGAGGTGCGGACCCCTTTGGAAATCTTAGACATACTCTGCAGACCCTGGGGGTCCACGGATCACAGGTCGAAAACTACTGTTCTAGAACAATATCTCTGCTGCTTCATCAACTATCATCAAGATGACTGGCTCTGACTTTTGCTTTCACCAGTTTGCTTACAATAACTCTGATCACCGATCAATCTGCCACAATCCCTTCTATGTCAGTTATGGCTTCCACTCCTCATTTCATACATCTGTACTGCTGTTCTCCCATGTCCATGTGGCCTCTGATTTGATTCAACATGTCCACTGCAATCAAGAGGAATTAAAATCACACCTAAACTCTGCCAAGGAGGATTACAAACAATACGCTGACCATCAACAGGACCATCCTCCCATGGCCATCAGAGACAGGGTATGGCTCTCAACTCAACACTTGTATACCTCTTGACCCTCAAGGAAACTAGACGCCCGTTACCTAGGCCCCTATGGGATCATTCAACAGATTAACCTGGTGGGCCTTCAAGTCATCCCTGAACAAGAGCCTTTTTAAATCACATGTACTGATGAGTCATTCCTGTGCTAGGCTCCAGCCAGTCCACAAGCCAGGAGCTGGTCTGATGACCCTCAGGGCAGGTATATTAGCTTCATAGGAGAAACAAAAACAACAAGGAGTCATCCGAAGAAGTGAGGTTTTTACCCACGAAAGCTTATGCCCAA